GACTTTGTTTCCTGCAAAGCATTACGTAGTAGTTGATGCGCCCTGCAGCTTCGAGAAGGGCTGAAGATCGACTTGCTGAACTTGGTGGAGACTGTCCTGGCGTTGTAGGTGCAGCACGAGACTCCCATGGCGAATCGTTGTCATGTCTTTTTGGACCGACGCAGATCTTTTCGCAAGGATAAGAAGCCATCACCATATCTTCCAATTTATGAAGCCGCTATTGATGACATCCGACTCCGGGAAGGTGATCCAGTGTGAAGGGCTTCCCTTCAACATGCTATATAAACTATGAAATTTTCCAAACTTAGCAGCCTTGCCGAAGCCTGCCAAGCTTTCACCACAGGCAATCGCTGACCTAAGTGTATCAGGGACCACCTAGCGACTGAATCAGCCAGACGGTACCACTTCTAACATGACCTACTCTTAGCTGGGTATCCGGGGAGCCAGAAACTCCTTTTTAGCTTGGGAGACCCTCCTTTAGGATGAACCTGTACTTCGCAATTCGACAACCGCACCCCCGCGCCACGATGATGTGTAGACTATCACGGGAGTGACCAATAATAAGATGGTAAGAAAATTTTTAGCATTTCCTCAAGCCCTATTACCTTCTCTTGCAATCAAATTTTGTATAAATGTACGTATTTTTGTAAGCTATCAATTCCACAGTTAACAATGTAGAATAGACCTGAAAATTAGAATTTTGATATATTTCCAAGTAATAAGAGCTATATAAGTCTGGGACAACTATGAGGAAAAAAACTAAGATAGGCGAACAAAGAAAATCAAGAAAATAACAGGCTTTATGAAAATCACCTCGCCCAGATCCCTCAAAGCACTTTTGGTAGTAGCGTGCGAGCAACACGGTAAACATCCACTCTTAGACCCAAGACGTTCACGCGCCGGTTCGCCTTAAGTGACTACAGCGTGTTTCTGAAATGCCAAAGATTACCTGCTTTGAAAAAAGTCCTTCTCTAAAAAAATACGACAATTGGGAGAAGATACTAACAGAATGGACAGAGATGGATGCCTTCAGCAAGATTAAGATTTATAGTACAAAAGAACACGAAAATAAGAGAAAACCGTTTTGAGAAATAGAATTTCCCTTGTGCCTCCCCAAATTTTCTATATAGATAAGTTGATCAGCGAAGTTGCACATGAATTGGAAAAGCGACAGAATAAAACAACATGAATAAGAGTAGATTACTCGCTTCAAACGCAATCAACTTCTGCAAAAAGAAACAGATATGGATCAGTACTATTTATTTAGAAAATTAGAAATGTAAACCAAAAAGTCTGAAACAAAATGCAACCGGTGAAGCAACAACATCAGTAGAGTAGGACGCCATGCAAACACAAAACTGAGTAAAAAATGTTTAATGAGAGCATCATGTTGCTGCTTTTTGAGCACTCTCCCATTTACTTTGAGTATATGCGTTTATAGTGACTGCATGGATTTCTGGCATAATGTCAGCAATGGCATCTTGTACAAGTCTGAAAGTGTAGTTCCACTTTCTCAGTACTGAAGGACTAAGCATCTACCTATGGCATTCCAGCACTCGTTTCCCATTAAAAGCGTCTGATACCACAGTTATTAAGAACTTTGCTCCACATCCGTCTGACTGATCGACTACTTCCTGAAAATATAATGATTAAAGGTGAATAATCTTAGTGAAGGCTAACCATGATTACCCATTAGGAAGGAGTGATAAAAACGCATATTTCTTGGGCTATTGAGAACCTTTTACCAATACTGTCAATCATATCTAAGCAAAAAAAAACTCACTACTAGTATGCTAAGCAAGAAACTTTTTGTCACCACTCGTTGTCTGTGGAAATGAACAATAGCCAATTCAGTGATGCCATTTCTGTGAATAGGTTCACAATAGAAGAGAACCTTCTGCTTTCTCGATGGTACAACAATAGACATTTTACTCCCAAGGATTTTTAGACAAAACCAAAGCAAAAAGGGAAGTCTTTCTACAGAATTAACTCATTATCATACAATATATATCACTCACAAAAGCTTATTATGGCATAGAAGCTTTTCAAGAACCCATTTTTAGGAAAATTTCAATTGTTATCACTATAAAACTAATACCAGATGCATGGGATTGAGTTTCCCTGATATCCTTTGGTGAACGTCGCTTTCCGAAACCATCTTAATACTATTCTCAGTGATTAATGTAGGAAATTGCGATAAATATATTAATAAATGTATATATGATGTTCAAAACAGACACTCAGCCCATTATTTTTATTCATACCAATAATATAGTGTGTACATACGAAGATTTGTAGCATATGGAACTAGTAGGCTATTATAACGTAACCAGTAAGACAATAGGTAACATCACATAATTAAATCATGATCTACTAGCAACCATTACAAAAGTTGTCATATGGAAAATCAAGCAAATAAAGTAAAGGAACACCGGCATCAGACTATAGGAACAGCGAACTCGATTAACAGTGCCGGATTAATAATGTAACAATAAAAATCACCGACATAACAACCTCACTACAAGCAGTGAGGTAGGCAATTAGACCTGTTGGTAGAAATCTTTAATAAAATATAAGTATCTAAATCTAGTATGGTAATACTCTTGTAAAAGAATATTTAAGGCAACAAGATCACCAAAACAAGTTAACCGGAACAACGAGTCGCTTTGATACGAGTCTGAAAGAGAGGCATTAGTTGAGGCGACCCAATCCAGAAGAGGTTAGTTGATGTGCCCACCTCCTAAGCGATAAACAGCTTGGCGCGACGAGCTGCTTCTTCCTCGGCCTCTCGTTGGCGTTTCGCTTCAAGTTCGGCTGGATCCGTTGTGCGCGGTTTTAATACAAGATGCGGGCGGTCGGGATGTTCCACTGAAGTTTAAGACGTACATAACAACGAATAATTGAGCAATCGATACAAAATTTTTTAAAAAGGCGCACCAAATTCTTCCTCTTCGTGATTTCGCTCAGAATTACGACGTCGTTGACGTCCGCCATAATTGCCACGGAAGCCTCCGCGGTTACGATTATGATCAACCGAATTCCATCCACTTCCACCGCGACCACCGCGTTCGCCACGATCACGCCCACGCCCTCCACGATCACCTGGTCGTTGACTGGCTACATCAATCTTCAATGGCCTTCCTCCATAATCCTAAATAAAAAATGGAATATCCCAGATAAACTGCTGTTTAGCTTTTTCTTTCTAGAAATCTACACAAATCTCTTCTTCTACATACATTTCCCTTCTTTTAACAAATAAGTCTATATGCAAACAGCGATAAATACATACGACATTTTACATTAGATCCGTAACTTTATGATAAGAGAAAAGATATTGAAAACCAACCACTCCATTGATTTCCAAGACTTTACGCAATTCGTCAGCAGAGTTGAATTCTACATATGCAAAGCCTTTGAACTTATCCGTTTCACGATCGTGCACCATGCGAACTTGGAAGGAGTGGATCTAAACGCATTTGCCTTCTCCAAAAATTGTCCAAAGAAGATTATCGTAATTGGCTAAGATGATATCACTAATGAACTAAAGCATAGAAAATGTTGAAGTGCACTAAAAGCTCGATTTGGAAAAGAATTCGGAAATTTTACAAGCATGAAGCATATTTTCGAGAAGAGTTGAACAGAAGTATAAAGGAAAAAGGTGAAAAACAGAAGAAGAACTCACGACTAAGAAGACTTCTCATGCAAGGTCACATGAAAAGTTACCTGATCATCGGTGAAACCAACATATTTAAGGATTTGTTCAATATCACCTTGTACGCCGTCGAAAGGAAGATTACCGATGAAAGCCTAAAAGATCAGCACTCATAAAAGGAAAACAAGGAGCATTTTGATTGCTATCGACATATGTGGCACGTAAGCATGGAACCAATACGTCTTGTCTAGTAAAAAA